GTAATAAATAAAAATAAATAAATATTAAAAAAAATAATAATAATTGTTGACAGCCATTATCCTTTTTAAAAATTTATGACATGGTACATGGCCTATCAGTAGACCATACATCAAACTGGTGTCTCCAAACACCAATTTGAAACTTCTGTCTACACATACTATTTAAATTCATCTCAAACCTGGGTCTAGGAACAATGGATTTGCCCAGAACTGCATACTTCAGCAATTCACAGTTGGTCATGGGTCATTTTACAACTACCAGCAAATAAAATGGTATATAAGCGAGCTTTCTACAAAGTAAACTGGGGCAGAGCAACTACGTAATCAGGAATGGTAACAAAGTAAAGCAAGTTATTATTCTAGTTTCTGATTGTTTTAACATATGTGCAAACATAGGCAGGTTCTAATTCACTGAAAGACCAACGTCTAAAACAATAACAACCAGCCAGGCAAAAGTGCCTAAGTGTGTTCCCAGGGCATACGGCAGACAAAAATCTGATGAGTGACAGAATGAGTGAAGTATACTGAGCGATGCCAGCAGTGAACGGCAGAAACCACCTTGAGGTAGATGGTATTAACTGCAGAATTCTCACTTTTTCACAGATCGCAGAGCAGGTTCGGGGAGGATCGCAGGACGGCGAGCGCGACGCGCGTCCCGGGCCCAGAAGTGGCTGAGATTCCTCGCTCTCACCTTGGCCTCAGGCTGCCTGGCCTCCGGAGCCCAACGGGCTCTCCTCGAATCTGTCACCCGGACTACCCAGCTGGGGGCCTGCCTCCCCTTCCTGCCCTTCCTTAGGTGCCCCCAGGTCTTCTCCTTCTCCGTCTCCAAGAATCTGTGCAGAAAAACCTGCCAAAACTGATGAAACTCGGAACTCCAACGCCAGACACCTCAGAGCTTCGCACTCCCTGCGATGCTCTCCTCAATTCGCTGTGCACAGCGCCCGTCCTGAAAACCCAGGGCACCGACAGATCTGCCTCCGCCCGCTGACGCCGCCGCGGCCTCGCAACTACCGCCGACGCGCGAGGACGGGTTTCAGAGGGATGCCCCGCCCCAACCGCCTCCGCCGCTGGCACAGACGAAAGGGGGCGCTACCGAGCGGCTTCCCTGCCTAAAACCATTCCCCGCGCCCGCGAATCCTGTAGCAAGAAAGACTAGCCGGGTAAACCCGACACCGCCCCCGCCTCAGTCTCAGCGTCAGGCACCGACGTCGCCGCCTCCGCCGCCGGGCGGCGTTTGAACGAACCGGAAGTGCGCCGGATGACTTCCGGCGGTTGGCGTCCCAAGAACCGGAAGTGCCTGGGATGGCGACTAAGCGGCTGGCGCGGTATGCGGCGCGTTCCCGGCGGGCGGTCGCTCAGGTCTCCTTTCCGTGCAGCTTTGGCGTCTCTGACTGCGCTGCCTGGATCTCGGTCCACCCTCCCGCGCCCGCCTTCTGTGTGTGGGAGGGTGGACGGTGCCTAAAGAACCCTGCGTGTGCGCCCCGAGCCCGTCAGCGCCTGGCCGCTCTACTCTGGGAAGCGCTCGGTGCTGCCGGTTCCCCGTGGCAGGGCCCTGGCAGGCGTCGCTGCAGCCGTGAGGCTGTTAGCCTCCCCACTTGGGAGTGAGTGGGCCCTCGAACTCATGACATGAGTCCCACTGTGGCCTTCTCTGACGTACAGCTGTGCTGTGCACATTTTGTCCTCTTAGTAACAGTGTAGTAGTGCATAGCATGCTCCTCAGAGTTGGACAGTCAAAGCTGGGTGGACGTGTCAAAGCTGTGTTCATTCGCAAAGGACCCAGGTGGTTTTTTCAGCCATCAAATGTGTGAGGAAACATGTCTTAACCTCCTAGATTCGTTGACCTAAAGAGACCTCGTTATATCTTTGTTTACTGTCTGGTGTGTAGTAAGCAATAAATGCTAGATTAATCCCAAGTGTCTACACTTCCCTCATACCTTTTTAAAAATTACAAGAGGTATGTCATTGATTTTGAGTCTACAGGCTGGAATGATGGGAAGTACCACAATAGTTTAACCTAGTCCCTCACAAAGCTTTCTCACCTGTGCTTAAAACTTAACTCTTAAAACCTGTCAACTTTTCCCTCTCTTTGGACTCTAGCATATGGCCTTTGGAGATCCGCTACTATCGATCGCCTTGCAATGGTTTTGTGGATGTCTTTTTTTCTTTACCCGGATTTTTTAAATTTCTAGAAGATAGTCTAGGACCATGTACTATGTTATTTTTGTAACAGTCTTAAAAACTATGCTGTATATGTAACAAGTACTTGAAAAATGCAAAAAGTAAAGGTTTTGTTGCATCTTTATCTCTACAGTCATTTGAGTTCCTCAGTATTACTGTAAAATACACTAAAGGGAACCGATAAAATTAACCTTTGTTTACAAATATGAGGCTATACAAGAAAATGACTACTAAAACCCAAAGATGTTAATACAAAAACCCAGGTCTTTTGCTCCTAAAGTTCAGTTCAATTTCTTTCGGTCATAACAATTAATGAACATTTTGCCATTTGCGCGCGGTTAGCATGTTCAGACAGGAGTGTAAATGGGTTCATTAATCTTGGATTGTTTTGTATTTATAGGCAGCTTGGATTAATTCGAAGAAAGTCAAATGCAGCAGCAAATGAGAATCTAGGCAGAAGCAAATCCAGTAAGTATTGTGCTTAGTTTCCTTACATCTTGTAGCCTGGCACCTTTGGAACTGGTAAAGCAATGACACCCTAATCCTTTTGCAGAGCAATTTTATGATTATATAATTGTCATTGATTTTGAATCTACATGCTGGAACAATGGGAAGCACCACCGTAACCAGGAAATAAGTAAGTCTGGACTTCAAATGACTAAATTGAGTATTGGATATGTCATTTTTAAGGTTGATACAGACTAGCCAACACTTTAAGAATACAATGTAGTCTATGAATTTGTTTAATTTAAAATCTGTCTTAATACAAGGGAACAAAATCTCTTATACCTAAATGTGTCAATATATAAAATAGAATTTCATGTAAAACCTCAATGGCATAGAAACTAAAAGAAAACTTTGTAAAAACAGTAAATTTCAATCTCTATATAGTCTTCATAGCTATAAAGAGATACACACAGAATTTCAGAATTTTTATTCTTTGGTATAACTTTATGTTGCCATGGTCAGAATGCTTTTACTGAATAGGTTTTTTTTTTTTTTTTTAAGTACATGTTTGTCATATATAATACATCATAGGTACATGTATATCTGAAACTTCAATAATGCTATTATAACAGTATCATTTAATTTAGAGTGGTTACAGCATTAATTTAGAAATTCTTTTTTTAAGTGTTCCTTTATTCTTTCATGTAGTTGAATTTCCAGCAGTATTGCTGAATACTTCAACTGGAGAGATCGAATCTGAATTCCATGCTTATGTTCAGCCTCAAGAACATCCAATTCTTTCTGAATTTTGCATGGAACTGACGGGCATAAAGCAAGTATGATCACAAATTCAGTAATGAGTTTCAAAATGAAAATAAAAGTTATGCACATTTAGAATTAGACTTATTTAGTGTTAGGAGAAAAACGTTTCTCTCCAGAAATCCATAGGAAGTTTTAAAAATCAAAACGATTAATGTTACAAACATAAAGACCAGGCCTGATTGTGTAGTTCAGTGTTACATTGCTGTTTGGTGTGTTTGATTGCCTGGGTTTGGTTGTCCAGCATTCCAGGGAAAAAAATACCAAATTTACTTTGTAGAAATAAAATAATTCAAGTTTGTCTTTTATTTCTGTTATCCATGCCAGTGATGGTGACCCTTTTAGAGCGTTCAGTGATGTAAACAGCCTGCTATGGCATGTGTGCCATACATTCCCCACTACTGATCTGTGTGATTATATTTGTGTGACTTGAAATTAGTTAGCCTGTGTTTTCTACCTTACTGAGTTCCAATCATGTTATTTCTCTCCCATGTATTTTGACATCTTTTCAGTAAAGTTTTTGCCAATTAAAACTTCTTTGTTAGTACTCCAAAATATAATATATACTCATTAATTATGAAATTCATTATTTGAATCAGATTTTGTGACTCTAATCAGGCTCAAGTTGATGAAGGAGTCCCTCTGAAGATTTGCTTATCTCAGTTCTGTAAATGGATTCATAATATTCAGCAACAGAAGAAGTTTGTTTTTACTACTGGAATTTCAGAACCTTCTACTTCTGAAGTAAAATTGTGTGCATTTGTTACTTGGTCAGGTAAAAATGAATTATCCCTATCAATCACAAATGGGTAGCATTACCATTATATAATTATTTCTAGTTTCATACTTGCTAACCTAGAATTAGACTTGTTAACTTCCTGGGCCAGGAAAAAAATTTCACTTGCTAGCATATATCAACCAAAATAGTAAATTCATTCATATTCTTAATATTATGGTTCTGGAATTATTTAAATTTTGTAACCCTTAGCTTTTAGAATCTTTGTAGCTGTTCCTCTCCTTCTAAATTCAAAAATGATTAAGTAAAAACTCTTAGGCTATTTATTGCAGCCTTGAATAAAGAATCTTCAGCTTACATCCTTTGCCTTTGTACTTTGATACTTATAAATGTACACATAAGAAAAAAAATGAAGCATTTGAAGTAGTTGTGGTCTTTTGTATGATGCAGCGTTGCTAGTACTGTAGCAGTCATTGGGAACAATGTTTATACCTGTGATAGCATAGATTAATAGTTGTATTTGGCTTCAAGTTAATATAAAATGTGGTTTCTCAATTACATTAATGTTTTCCTAGCATATAGGAAATTCAGCCTTTGTAATTCAGCCTCATACTCTTTTTTTCTGAAGTAGAGTTGAATATATAAGAAATCATTTTGAAAGTTAGTCACCAATTTCTTAATAGTAATATAAAGTGCAAAGTAATGTGAAGTATATCAGTGTTAACTATTAACAGAGCAATTAAATCCTACTATTTTATATCATTTTCTTCTATTTTAATGTACTTAATGAAGACTGGGACTTGGGTGTTTGCCTGGAGTATGAATGTAAAAGAAAACAGCTGTTAAAACCTCTGTTTTTAAACTCTTGGATTGATCTTAGAGCAACTTACAAGGTAAGGGTCAAAGATGACATAGTCACTTTCCTTCTTAATTACATTTTATCTACATATAGGTTTTTGTATGTATTTTTTTGTGTATGTGAATGTTCACATATCTATTCATTGTAATGTATTTTAAAACAGCACAACATGAATAAGTACGTTCCAAATCTAATATTAATAAAAATTACATGACCTAGTGTGTTGGTATACTCTTTTAATCCTAGCACTCAGGAAGCTAAGGCAGGAAGTTTGCCATGAGTTTGAGACCAACTTGGGCTACAAAGTGAGTTCAAGGCCATCCTGCACTACACAGACTGTTTTAAAACCAAAACCAAATAAAGAAATATTACAAAAATAAGTGGCTAATGCAAAGCCTTTTGAACAGTAATCATATTTTTAGATGTGTCTTTATTTGATTAGCTTTTCTATAGAAGAAAACCAAAAGGACTAAGTGGTGCCTTGCACGAAGTGGGAATAGAATTCTCAGGAAGAGAACATTCTGGTTTGTATAAATTATTTTGTTTGTCTTTTGTGTGTGTGTGTGTGTGTGTGTGTGTGTGTGTGGAACCGGGGATTGAACTCAGGCCCTTGCGCTTGCCAAGGAAGCGCTTATTCCACTGAGTCATCTCCCCGGCCCCTGGTTTGTATAAATTAAAAATCATTTTCTTATCCATTTTATGAACTATTTAAGATAAAGACAACCATCTAGTGGATTTCTAGTTCTAAAAAGAATGAAAAGAATTTACGTAGCCAAATCAAACTGAGATTAAACAAGTCCCCAAACAATACAATGAACTAGTGAAAAGACTGAACAAGAATATTTGATTATTCAAAAATCATGGTCTCTACAGATTGCAGGTCACATTTTTAGAAACTAACCGATTTTCACATTATTCTCTAAATATGGGAGATTTTGTCTTTTATTGCTAATGCAGCCACAGCTTTCCCTAAGAACAATTTTTGTTGTTGTTGTTAAAATTAGTAGATAATCACTAAACTGTCAATATGTCTCAGTTTCTCTGAAGCTGTAATTTTTTGTTTGTTATTTCTTTACATTAGTACAATAAATGTAACATTTGATATCTCTTTCCTCAGGGTTGGATGATTCACGGAATACTGCTCTTCTTGCTTGGAAAATGATCAGGGATGGCTGCCTAATGAAAATTACAAAGTCTTTGAACAAGGTTAGTGTTGTCTGGCCTTTTTAGTCTTTCATCTCAAACTCAAGTATTCATAGATTCATTTCATGTATGTGATCACTTGTAAACCAGTGGCATTTTTTGTTATGTCTACTGAAGAAATTGTAAATGCACAATCTAAAGATGTTGGATTTTCTGTGAAATCATAGGTTCCCAATGAGTATCCCAATATGTTGGCCAGAAATTTGAATACAGATCAAGTTGGAGAAACATCCCCCTGCAACGTCAGCATCCAGAGTCCCGGAACATATAACAAGGCGTCTAAAAATTCAGTAAGTGCTCAAGAAAAAGTTCAAATGAATTCTGTTTGTATCAGTTCCCTTATGAGTGTACAGCAGCATCAGTTACTAGCGGAAAACTGTATAAAAGCCAATCTTCGCAGTGTGAAAAGTTGCTTGTCAGTTTTTATTACTAAGTCCTCTATGTTTCAGTCTCACAGCTTGAATTCACCTATCTATGTGCAGAAGCAAAGAAAAAATGAACATCTTGCATATAATACCAAATCTAAGTCTTCAACACACAGTTCAGAATTGGTACTTGTTTCTACCGCTATTCCGTCTGCTAATCATGTTTCTGATATGGAAGTAAGTTCTACAGTTGACTGCTTACCTCTGTTGGCTGATTGGGAAGATGTAGTTTTACTGCCAGCATCTCAGCCTGAGTAAAATACAGATTGTATACCTCCTATTAGTGACACAGATTTAGATATTTCATTTAATTCTGGAGAAAGATTGGTTTTAAAAGAATCAAATATTCCAACTTCTGAAAAACTGGAGGACATCAAGGAAACTCCTAAAAAATTTGAGACCTCTAAGTCTTCTGTATATAAGAGTTCTCACCCTACTGTTTATAATGTAAAAGAAGCCAAACATCCAGTTTCAGATGCCTCTACCTTTAAATTACCTGAATGCAAATCACATGCCTTCAACAGTGTTAATGCCGATGCATCTCATTATTCAGCTTTGGAAAAACACCCTCTTTTAGGTGGTAGTAAAAGAAATTCATCTAATTTTCCAGCTTTCCCACCAGCAAAAAAACAGAGCTTCATTATTCATGAAGAAAAGCCTATAACACTTGATTGCTCCCCAGTAAGAAGTTCTTCCCAAAAGGCTCTCCCCTCTGTATTAACAGCTATGGTTAATCTACAAGAGCCTTGGAAGAGTGGAAAAATGACACCTCCTTTATGTAAATGTGGTCGAAGATCTAAGAGACTTGTTGTTTCTAATAATGGACCAAACCATGGAAAAGTCTTCTATTGTTGCCCTATTGGGAAATACCATGAAAACAGAAAACGTTGTGATTATTTTAAGTGGGAAAAAACACTTCAAAAAGAAAGAATCAGTAGTATAGTCCTATCTCACTCTACAGAGGGTCTCACTTTGAATTCTTCAAAACCAAGCTATATTCATGACAATTTAAGTTTTTCTGCTAAATATTCTTTGAGACTCAGGCCTTCCATGAGGAATTGATAAACTTTCTTTAAAATATGTTTTTATATTCAATACATCTTTTTAAAATTTTTTTAGTATTGAGGCTCAAACCCAGGGCCTTCATAATGAGCCACATCCCCAGCCCTTCTTGGTTTTTGTTTTGTTTTTTTTTTAGTTAGAGTCTCTTGAACTCACTGAGTTTTCCAGGTTGTGCTTGAACTTGTGATCCTTCTACCTCATCCCCCCAGAGTGCTGGGTTTGCAGGCTTACCATCATTTCTGGCTTCAGTGTGACTTTTAGTACAGGAAAGATTAAAAAAAAAAAAAAAAATTACTCTGAGGCTAGAAGCTATGGAGACTTAGCATAGCTGAGCTCTGTGGATTCTATTGGAGGAGTTGTATATGTACATACACACACATACCAACTGAAGAAAAGAAAATAAATTTCATAATATTTTACTTTGATTTACCAGTTGTCTGCCATTCATCTTATTCATACATAAATCCTAACTGCTTCTTAAATTCCCAAGCGTTAATATTGTGGTAAAATCTTGCCCAATTTTATTTGTTTCATATATTAATATGAGCTAATTTATCATTCATATTCATACTTGCGCTCTTTTCAGAGCCAGGGGCGAAACCCAGAGCCTCACAAATGCTACACAAGTGCTCTATCACTGTACTGCGTCCCCAGCTTATCATACCTTCTTAGAAAACCACAATTAAAATATTTTGATACTGTATTAGGTTAAATACAATAAGGAACAATAGTACATGACGTCTATCGTTTATACTTAAACCTTGAAACAAATTTTAAGCCATCTGTTAAGTATTTGAATAAAAATCCCTAGTCTAGGCCCCATGTGGCTGCACACACCTTTAATCTCAGCACTTGGGAGGGTATGGCAGGTGGCTCACCATGAGCTCAAGGCCAGCCTGTGCTAGACGGTGAATTCACAGCCAGCCTGAACAATGTGGTAAGACCCTGTATCTGAGAAAAGCTCAGTCTATTTTCAGTTACTTGAGAATTATAATTGATTTTTCCCCCTAAAAACTAGCTGCATGTGTCAAGACACACCTGTAATCCTAGCCCTTGGGAGGCTGCAATTAATGAGTTGGATGCCAACCTAGGCTATATAGTAACTTCAAGGCCAGCCTGAAGTACATAGCAAACCTTGTCTCAAAAAAACAAACAATGCTTACAAGTTGTTTAATTTTAAGTTTGGAAGGTTGGTTCTTCATCCCAGATATTTTTGTGTGTGTGTGTTTTGTTTTTTTTTTTTTTTTTTTTGGCAGAACTGGGGATTGAACTCAGGCCCCTGCACTTGCCAGGCAAGTGCTTATTCCACTGAGCCATCTCCCTGGCCTGAAGGTTCTAATTTGTATATCAACATACTGAAATCATTCAACTAAAAGTTGAAACCTAACAGAACAAAGATTTGGTTCAGAAACTGCTTCTATGGTATATATTAAAAAATTCCTCAGCAATTGATGACGTTCTATTTTATTTACCTACTTATAGGAACATTTACTGAATGCAGAGTAATTTACTGAATATTTCAAAATTCAGCCTTTGATGTCATAACCATAAAATGTCTTCACTCAACAGTTTGTAAGCATACTAGCATATATTTTTACCACCTCTTCATAATCTTATTGTTTCTATAGATTTATAGATACTATTTTTATAGATATTATAATTAATGGAATAAATTTAAATTGTTTTCCATTCTTTTTCTCTTAGTTCATTTCTTTTTATCTTCCCACTGATAGTCTTTGGCAGCTCTTCAATAAATTCTACCTGTTGGTATCAATAAAAAAGGTATTAGTCTGGAAGTTTTTATCTTTCGATAAAGCCAAGTATTTTTCTAAGATAAAGTCAATTATAAAATTTTATTATTTTTATATGAAAGAAAGGATACCCATTAGGGTTGTTTTTTGAGAAGATGAAGAAAGGGAGTATTCAAATTTGTTTTGTTTTGCTTAGGGGTGGGTGTGGCTGTGTGTGTGTGTGTGCATGTGTATGTGGGGGGGGGTAGTAGGGACTGAATCCAAGGCCTTTACACTGAACTATATCCCTAATCTTATTTTCATTTTGAGATAGGATCTTAACTACATTGCCCAGGCTGGGCTCAAACTTGTGATGTTCCAGCCTCTGCCTCCTAGAATACAGACATTACAGATGTGCCTCATCATGTCCATCTGTTTTTTTTTCCCTTGCTCTTTAGCATTTACTGTAAGTCCAGTGAACTAAATAACCAAATAAATTAGTGTAAGAGTATTGCTGTAATCTCAGCATTTCTGACTTACCTGTATGTTGTTAGTTCCATTTGAAACATTTTGTGTTGTATATTTGAGAATGTTCAATATAAAGGAAGTTTTTTTTGTGTGTGTGTGTTTTCTTTTTAGTACACTACACAGATATTTATCATAGTTGGGATACCAACCTTTCTGGGATATTTGTAAGGTGCTGTAGTTTTTTTTACATGCTCCTGAATCTCCTTTATCAGTTGCTCTTGATCATGCAACTTGTAATCGGGGTTCAGAACAATGAAAGCCTTTACTACCTAAAATAAATATATGAAACATTAGAGGAGTTGTATATTTTTGTTTTCTTTTGTTTTAGTATGTCTTATTTTCTAAATAAGAATCTTCATGATTGGTGGACTGAATCAGATGGTTAAATGAAGCTTGATCCCAACCAGTCAAGTCAGGACCTGATCTATATCCAATACAAGAGAGCCTCTAGGACCCTTGCTGTGTTCATGACCTAATCTTGAAATCTGCTTCTGACCTGTTTCTGATTATATCTGTCCTTGACTTTTGCCTCACATTTTATCTTTCAGTAAATTTTCTTCTCACAAAATTCAGAATGCGGTAAGCCGCTCACGTAACAACACAGTCTGTTTCAACCTAGCTACTAGGACTCTATTCTCAGGATTGCCCTTATAAACAGTAGTCATAGGGATTGCCACATGCTGAGACCCTGCTCTCTTTGAAGTGGCTTTGAAGACTCCAACAGTCACTCTGCTGTGCTTTGACACATTTAAGGGTGAATATGGTGGTGGCCCAGCTCTAACTGGCAGAAGTTAGAATTCATGACCTTATGTGCACACACCCCATTCCCCAGAGTGTATTGAACTGTTTTGGGAAATCCTGCCTAGAGCTTTCGGACTTTAAATGGGGGACCACACCTTATGTAAGCTCCCTTCAAGGGGATCTCCTTCAATATTGTTAGCATTACCAGTCACTGCTTCCCAATGAGGCAGGACTGAATGACTCAACTAGTACTTCACACCTCCAGGTCCAGGTTACCAGCCGTGGAATTTTCCTTTGCTGCAGGAGCATAGGCCCATGAGTTCCCTCTTACTGTGCTGTGGTTAAATCCTGCACATAGGTGGCAGGATTTATAGTTTCCTATGTGCAGTGTAAAGGTAAGCTGGCAGCATTTTACTGTGTGCCTTAATCTGAACGTCAGGGTTGATTGAAAGGGAGTTATTTGAAACAAATCACTCAGGGCAGCCAGTGAAAAATGAAAGACTTGCAATTACAAATTTTTCATACATTAAAATTCATTAACCAGTGAACAGCTTTTATATGTATTTACTCATTTTTGTTTTAAAGTTAAAACAATGGCAGGATTATTTAAAATAGTCAACAGTGTGAAAACGAATGTTTCTAGTTAACATGTGGCCTGAGGCAGCTGTGGAGCCATGTGTGCATTTGAACATGGATAAAGTTTTATCCTACGCACTTTTAACATTCTATACAATTTATTTTAGGTAATGCTGTCTTTGTGGCTTTATCAACATTTTGATGAATTTTTAAAAGGATCCTTTAACCCTTAAAGGGATGCTTAAAGGAGAAGATAATATTAATAATAAAAACAGCTGTGAAGTCTGAAAAGAAAAAGGATCCTTTAGTAATTTGATTCAAAGGCAAACTTGAAGACTGCTGAAGATATTTACAAATCATTAAGAAATGTTTTTTTCATCATATTCTGCACATAAACTTAAAGACACTGCACATTGACTTAAAGTTCAACATATCAATACTTGATGAAAAATACCTGTTCCATGTTATGCCTAACATGTTTGATATTCAGACAGATAGTGAGATTAAGCTTAACAGCCTAGGTTGTATGGTAACAACAATAAGCTTCTCTTCTGGAGGGTTAACAACCTAAGTTTGCAGAGCAAAATTAGAGAAAAAGGAGGGCTACAAGGAAAGCCAACATTTTGGCCCTAGTCTTCTAAGGTCAATTAAGACTCAGGACATATGAGAACTTGT